GTTGAGATAACTCTTTGCAATCCAGAATCGCCAATGCACTCAATAACATAACAGTAGATGTATGTTTTGCAATATAAGCGGTCGAACCACTTTAAAAAATCTTTCTGACTCTTTGTTGTTTATGATTATTATTGCACATTCATCATCGCATTACTCCCATCGCTGATATATCATAATTACGCACTCATCTTAAACGATTCTAGCATTGTTAATCACGCACCTTTGGTTATTGCAATTTTCCGCATCAACATATATCATAAATGAATTGCTTATCATTATATATCCTATGTATCGATTTTCCCTTCACATCGACATGACAACTTTATCGGGGGAGCCATTTTATCACTTTTCCAGTGATCTCTTTGAGTCTAAAACAACGCCTGGTTTTATTGCTTGAAATATACAGTAATTTCTGATAATTCATTAACAGATTTGGCTATGAATTGAGTCAAGAAATAGGGGAATAATGCAAACATTATTAGTGCTTTATCTTCAAAGTTTTGACAAGATTTATATAGCAAGAACTTGCATATGTGTAGCTAAAATCAACCAGGAATATTACAGCTTTTGCACAGCAATTTAGGCAGATAAAAAGAGCCAAGACATAAGGGCCACAGCTTAATAAACACACACATAAAAATCGGAAAATTTTGGCAAAATTCTAAGTTTGATTTTACTTAGCCTCTTGGTTTCCCAACAATCATGCAACCTTTAAGCCCACAGAACCGGTCATGATCTCCATGTGCTTGTGGCTTCTGTATGTACTGCACCGTTGATAGAATTGAATTATTGGTGTCACTGAATCTGTAAAATATTGTACATTGAATTATGGTTGGTCCCGAGAAATTAGCTATCAACACAAGAAACAAAAAATGTCAATGTTGGTTTTNTTGCAATTTTCCGCATCAACATATATCATAAATGAATTGCTTATCATTATATATCCTATGTATCGATTTTCCCTTCACATCGACATGACAACTTTATCGGGGGAGCCATTTTATCACTTTTCCAGTGATCTCTTTGAGTCTAAAACAACGCCTGGTTTTATCGCTTGAAATATATAGTAATTTCTGATAATTCATTAACAGATTTCGCTATGAATTGAGTCAAGAAATAGGGGAATAATGCAAACATTAGTAGTGCTTTATCTTCAAAGTTTTGACAAGATTTATATAACAAGAACTTGCATATGTGTAGCTAAAATCAACCAGGAATATTACAGCTTTTGCACAGCAATTTAGGCAGATAAAAAGAGCCAAGACATAAGGGCTACAGCTTAATAAACACACACATAAAAATGGGAAAATTTTGGCAAAATTCTAAGTTTGATTTCACTTAGCCTCTTGGTTTCCCAACAATCATGCAACCTTTAAGCCTACAGTACCGGTCATGCTCTCCATGTGCTTGTGGCTTCTGTATGTACTGCACCGTTGATAGATTTGAATTATTGGTGTCACTGAATCTGTAAAATATTGTACATTGAATTATGGTTGGTCCCGAGAAATTAGCTATCCACACAAGAAACAAAAAATGTCAATGTTGGTGTTGTGCATGATTTTCTGACGGCCAGATTTGTGCCACCTGTCTATGCACCATATCGAGATATAGTGGTCAAAATCGTCCCACGTGTCGTTCTTATAGCAGATGACTTTTCCAACAAACTCATCAATATTAAGCATAACGGTTCAAACTTAAGCATGGGTAGGGGCTAACTAAGATCCGGATTACGAGAGATTATGCGTGTAATCCACCCCGTAATACCAACTCCCAACCATTGTCAGACGATGTATATAAAAGGGAGGCACTATCTCCATTTTGGAGGACGGATGATTCACTCAAGCATAGGAAATCACTTAGAGAGAGTTTTAGCTCGTTCTTATGTGTTTCCTCCTTGTATTCGTTTTGTGTATACAACAAACATAAGCAATAATATAAAAATGGACATAGGCTGGTTCTAACCCGTCGAACAACTTTAAAAATCTCTTGTGTTCTTGCATTATGAATTCTTTAATCCATACCTAACTGGTTATTTATAATCACGTCCACATCTTACTCAGTCCTATCGCGGTCAACTAGGTACCTCTGGTTGTTGCGAGTTTTTATAACAACAGTCGGCAATAATTTTTAGCCAAGATTGTGTGAAGCTCATCAGTCATAATATTAATATAGAGGCTCCACATTCAAAAGGATAACCAATATGTAGTTGTCATAATAGTAAATGCAACAATGATTGACATTTTCAGGAACTTATTGACTTAAGCATCGGAAATGTTTAGTCGATAACTTTTTCGACAACAATTGGGTCGATTGCTTGTTGACGAAGATAACTAGAAGCAATTTTAACCAGCGATTGTGGTGTAGAATGTAAGTATTGGATGTTGAATGGAGAATCTGGAAAGCAGATTCAGCTCTTTCCATGCACAAATTAGTGCCACATGAATCACGCATCAAAAGCTCTGAACACTAAAAAGTTAGCCTCCTCAGTTTGTTATAAACTTTATAGCAAAAATCAAACCGTCTCTTCTCCTCCTATCAAATTAAAATGGCAATCCATCAAATTCTCAGTGGAGATGAGTTGCTTTCAGAATCTGATAACAAGAAAGTGTCAAAAGGTGAAATGATATCAGAATTCCTGAGTGTTAAAATTTTTAAGTTTGTCAAAATTTGTCATCATATTATTGGGAGAATGTCAATCTAAACCAGCAGTGTTGGAAATTGAGCTGCTAATCACTTTGAAAGTTGTTGCTTTCTGATGTTGATGTCAGTGCTAGACATCGCAGAACTTGATAAGAATCTAAATTCTCCCCAAAGTGTAGTATGATCTTTCGATTCTCTCTCGATAAATCTTAACCACAAATGTTTATAAACATACTCTCGTGTCACTAGATCTTTAAAAGTTCAAGAGAACTCAGATCAGGACAAGATATTAAACATGGTCAAACAATTATACTCGAAAGGAATGTGGTGATAAACTTCTGGGTGGTTGCTTGGCCATTTCAGTAGGGCAAATCAATCAAGCATCTGCCAGAAAGAATGTTATGGGAGTAGTTATAAATTTTTAATGAGACAGATCATGTTTTATACCTAGAGGGTTTCAGTGATAATGATGGAAAGTTATTGGGAAGTTGTGGCATGCATATTCCAGGAAAACTCAACCACAAATCCTGAAGTGTACTACTACTGCTCAATCAAGATTTGAGATTGTCTATATCTAAATAGTCTTTAATGAGAATGTTCTGATAACTATATGTAACCAGAGAAACCCATCTCATTAAGCGCATTTATATGCTTATGGTCCAGTGTTAATAAGACCAATTCAATCGATCCCACCGAACTAAAGTAAATATTGTTTCTTTTTTGAACCTAGTCTTCACAGATTTGTTGTGAGACTTCACGAAAACGTATTCGTCCATAACGTGTTTACTTAGTGCAATGTGATCGATTAAATGAGACTTAGTATTGTTACAACCCTATCCAACTAAATAGATATTGTCTGTTTTGAATACTCTCACGGATTTGCTTTTGTGCTTCACATGATTCACGCTAGTGTTCTCACCAAAAAATACGTTTATCTATAGATATTATCTATTTTAAGATTAATCCACAGAAATTTGTCTTTAAACGAGCGTGTCTACTTGATTAAGATGATTCAAAACTTATAAACTGAACTTTGACTCTTGCACATTACCGATACGAAACGTGACACTGACACCGTCTATTTAATAGCAGCTTTGCGTACTGAATTACAAATGGCTCATTCTTATTGAATTCTCACATCCTACCCATATTATTTGCGCTAATCAAGCCATACAAGGGGCCACCATGTTGGAATTCAATTTGTCCATTTCATCATCATTATAGGGAAAAAAAATGTGACCTTAAATTTGCTGGAAACTGTTTCCACACTGCTGGTCCAACATGATAGAGACCAACTTTTAATGGCAACTGTTTTTATATATTTGCCATCAACTTTGCTATAACTTCTTATTCATATAAATCAGTAAGAGAATAATGATATCATTGGCTGATAATATTAATAGATTACGTGGCATCGTAAATTTTTTATTGTTTGATGATTCGGATCAACAGATAATGTTATCGGATCAATAGTATTATTCCCGTAAAATAGTATCCTATTAATCAACTATAGGTGAAATGTTCCTGTAAAGCAAGATTATTAATCAGAAAGCTGCAAAAACTGAAGGGAAATTGAGCAAAATTGCTTTGAGCATACTGGATTTTAAGATCATTGAGAAAACTTGTAGTGTGTTTACAAAATTGGACTTTAAGGCTTTATTGGGCTGCCTTTTGTGAAACTTCTTGCAGCCCAATTTCATAAAGGCATAATGGTAATTGGACCTATTAGCCCATTAATTATAGAGAATTATAAATAGTAGGAGAATGACGGCAAACGTCGATATGTCCGAGTGGTTAAGGAGACAGACTCGAAATCTGTTGGGCTTTGCCTGCGCAGGTTCGAATCCTGCTGTCGACGTGTTTTGTTAATTCCTTTTTCACCCTTCCCCGAAAAGTCTACATTTTTTAACCAAAATTTTGAGTTTCTTTAAAAAAATAAATAAGAAAAGTTTCCAACAAAATAAATGAAAACTACCATATGATACTAAATATAGACAATTTAAGTATAAAATATATGTGTATAATTAACATTCTTATCTAGAGGATACATAAAAAATTCAATCATATATATATTAAAACTCTAAGAGATTGATCGAACGATCTTAAGAAAATTTGTTTTCTTTATTGATTTTCTCAGTTCGAATCATCCTAAGGTATATTTGTAGCACACTTGAAACATTGCTACAAGTTCATTGTTAATAGTTAAATTTGTTGAGATAAACAAAATGATGAATAATGTAACAATAAACTTTTATTTGTCTAATATTTTGTGATTAATTTGGGGAATCATTATTTTTAGGCATTACAAAAGGGTAAAAACGTCTTTTTAGAAGTGACAAAAGGGTAATTTCATCAAAACTTCTTACACTATTATCTCTTTCACCTCCAAAACCTCTCCAAAAATGGCTTCCTCTCTTCACTCAAACCTCACTTTTCTTCTTCCTACTCCAAAACCCAAGCCAATCATCACCCAGTCATCCACCGTCCATCACATTCCCGTACGATGCGGTCCACGCAGCAACCGTGGACCACTTGTCAAAGGCAGAATCCTAAGCACAGAAGCAATCCAAGCCGTCCAATCCTTAAAACGCGCCAACAAAACGAACCCACAAAGCCCCGCCTACCCCTCCCTCTCCCGCCTCCTTAAGGCAGACCTCCTCGCCGCCCTCCGTGAACTCCTCCGCCAGGGCGAGTGCGCTGTCGCCCTTCACGTCTTCTCCGCCGTCCGAGCGGAATACCCGGATCGGGACTTGGGTTTACTCGCGGATATGATAAGCGCTCTGGGCAAGAAGGGAATGCGGGACGAGATTGACCGTCTGATTGGGGAGTTGGAGGAGATCGACGGTGGTGATGAAAAGGGTCTTGTGAGAGTGATTAAGGGTGTGATTGGAGCTGGATTGAAGGAATCAACGGTGAGGATTTATGGGGTGATGAAAAGAAGTGGGGTGGGGTCCAGTTGGAAAGTAGACGAATATGTGGGTAAGGTTTTGAGTAGAGGGTTGAGAGGATTTGGGGAGCTTGAATTGGCTAATGAGGTTGAAAGGGAATTTTGTTGGGATTTTAGGGGTAATTTGGAGAATTCACTTGTGTAAAGAAATATGATTTTATATACAGTATATTTTTTTTTCTCTTGTATTTTATAGTGTATTTGATAATATTTTTGTTTAGGAAAAACATTTTTTTATCATATAAATGTTTTAGTCATTACAAATGTTGTTATATTAGACCCAATATATGTAAAATCTATCAAATTCACCCTTAATCCCAAGATTTTGATGATTTAAAATGGGTAATGAATTTTTTAATAATTTCTTTTTCTTATTTTCATTTTATCCATATTAAGAAACTATCTTTAGGCTTGAGTAAGATTTTGTATGACTTTGAATATAACTATTAATATTATAATTAAAATCGTAAAATATGAAAATTGTAATAAATGAACATATATGATTGAGAAAATATTGAGAATACTATGGGTCCGTTTGGTTCATTATTCTATAGTTTTTAGAATAATATTTTGAAAAACGTTAAATTGGGCTGGTATTACGATATAGGATTTGGAAATTAACAAAAATACCCCATATGTTTGTTTATTTACTAAACACTCTTATAATAAAATATTAAAAGTTAACAAAAACATCTCTAACCCATCTATTAAATACGGACAGCCGGCTACCATCGTCGGAGGGTGGCCAGAGTGTTTTTGCAATTTCTAAAAAAAAAATTTGGGGTGTTTAGTTAAATTAATAAATTTAGAGAGTTTAAAAAAAATTAAAAAATATAGAATAATATTTTAAGAATAATAACATTTTGCTGTTTAACTTTATTGGGAATACTAATAATAGCATTCCCAATAGCGTAACAAACGAAGCCATGTATATAACAAAATTACTCGATATAATAACATTAGCAAGTGAAAATGAAAACCGCCCCTAGATGGTCGGATGAGGCAATAGAGACTCTTGGGTATATTACTCAAGAGGTCTTAAATTCGATTCTCCTCAATTGCTAATAGAGGTGGTCATTTGAGGGTTTATCCGATTGTTAACTTTCGAACCCTTAGGAAATAGTTGAGGTGTACGCAAGTTGATTTGAACACTTCTGGCCACCAAAAAGGGCAAAAAAAAAAAAAAATAAATAAAAAGTGAAAATGAAACTTTGATCCCCATTTTGATTAGTGTTTTCGTTAAAGTTAATTGACGGTTCGATTTTCTCTTTTTCTCACAAGAACAGGGCTGTAGTATAATTTCTCATACGTACTGTGGGTGGTTTTGTTATTTCACCAAATGCATAATGGAATTTCACAAAAGGAAAAGAACCAAATTATAAAATGAAATAGTTTTTTAATTCTTTGTAGCAGATATGGGTTGTAAGATTTGAGAATCTCGAGAATCAGCATCAGAAGCTGAAGTCATCCTCGGGAAAGTACAAAGATCAAAATGCCCCTGTATGAACAAAAAATTACTTTTAAACCTCTTAAAAGATCTCCCCAGTAAAGATTTGCAATAGTCTTGGTCCTCTTGGAACTGTTTGTGAACAAAACCGAGCAAGTCATCACTCAAATCTCTCCCTGTCACTCTCTTCGTAATAAAATCAACTGAAAGTTTTAAACTTTGCAAAGAAACGCTATCAAATTGTACAGTAAACAATCCGCGTTTCACAAATGAGTAGTAGCAGCACCAACATAGCAACACCTCCTCCAGAGGATGCATGGATTGATACATATAAAAAACTGCTTCCTCACTGGAAATCTCTTGCTTTAGCTCATCAGGTTCGCAAATTGAACTTGCCCTTTAGGTTTTATATCTTATTGTTCAAGTTTACTTATGATTCCTTACTGTAAATCATGTTTTAGGGCTTTGTTTTTGCTCGTCTTTTTGAAGTCTGCCGACTTCGAGTGAGAACCTATTAGATAATTTTTCTGGGAATTTGTGTTTTTGGTAAAGGGTATGGACTAATTAGTTTAAATTAGCTGAATTAAAACGCTTATGATTGTTGAATATTCAAGGTAAGCTGATTGAATTAGTTCAAGGATGTGTTTGTACAAATTTTGAAATTTTTGAGCTTATATTTATATTGGGTATGCTAATTTTATGCAAAGTTATGTTCTTGTTGTCATGGTTTGAATTAGTTGACTTTTTTTTTTTTTCTTTTTCTGGGTATTTGTAACCTTTTAACTATGTTGTTGTTTTGGTTGTTTAATATGTATGTCTTTTGTACAGTCATCGATACCTATTTCAATATCGAGAGTTAATCAGTTTGATGCTGCAAGATTGGACATTGAAATGTCGGCTATGTTAAAAGAACAGTTGGTTAAGGTCTTCTCTTTGATGAAGGTACCGTATTGTATTATTGAAGGCATTAATAGCGTAGCCATTGACTTGGAGTTCTTTTGGTCAATGTTTTTATTCTTGTTTCATTCTTTTATTGGGATTAGCCAGGAATGTTATTTCACTATGAACCGGAACTTGATGCGTTCCTTGAGTTTCTCATCTGGCGGTTCTCAATTTGGGTAGATAAGCCAACTCCGGGGAATGCTCTTATGAATTTGAGATATAGAGATGAACGTGCAATGGAGGCAAGAGCAAAAGGTAAGGTCTGACTTCTCGCTTGTGCTGCTACTTATGTGATTGACAATTTGTTTCTTCTAGTAGTTTTAATTAGTAGTTTTCATCTACTCTATATTGTTTATAATCCATAAGGATTGAGAAGTACAGGTTTCTAAAACCCTTCTTTGTTACAAATGCACTTTAGGACTGATTGAAGGTGCAAGTTTCATTATTCATTTTTAATGATCTACACCGTCATTCGAATTGCACAGTAACAAAAGTTTCTGGCTATGATTTTGTATAATGGATCCTGTTTCTGGTAGATGAAAGTACATGCACAAAGGTGTATCTCCAACACTTTGATAACTTCCACGAACAAATGTAATAGTGGGCATGAATGTTAAGTTATGTTGTTCTGCAAATTTTTTACTATGTATTGTAAGGTTGTTGAAATGATATTCTTGACAGTGATTTCAATCCTTGGGGACCATTTGAAAATTTCAAAGCTCAGTTGAATCGTAATTCTTTTGTGTGCTTCATTTTATGGAACTTTTCCTTTTTCCTTTTCCAAATCAAGATATGTAGTTGTTCTGAGGTCAAAATTGTAAAAGGCTTAAGGAGTGCTTGACATGGTGAATAGGAGTTCATTTGTTTTCAAATTCCAAAAGTGCAGAGCACATATATATTTCCATGATAACCTTTCATTCAGGCATTCCTTATCTCAGCTTCACCTTTTACCGACTTAAACTTAACTTGTTTTCCTACTTTTCGTGTTATTTTCCTGCAGTTAGAACAGGTTTGGAGGGACCTGGTCTTACAGTTGCTCAAAAGTTTTGGTATTGCGTCGCTACTGTTGGTGGCCAGTATATATGGTCCCGCCTACAGTCATTTTCTGCTTTTCGTAGATGGGGTGACTCTGAGCAGGTACCTCTTCAACCTGTCCTGTGACTACCATTCTCATTCCTGGAAGAATTTTGTTTCTAGGTGTGCTTGCATGCATATGCTTGTATGGATAGTGCTGTTGCTGGATTTAAGTGGGAACTAATTTTCTTTGTCTGTTATTCAGAGGCCATTGGCTCGACGAGCATGGATTTTAATACAACGTATTGAAGGAATTTACAAGGCTGCCTCATTTGCAAACCTACTGATATTTCTTTATACAGGAAGGTATGTTCTGAGATAATATTTTCTATCAAAATAAACAGGAGAAAAGGCATGAAGATATTCAATGTATAGGTTTCCTTAGAGAAAATAAGTACTGTAGGAACAAGAGAATAGTGGGAAAAAATTGCTATATAGCCAAATATGTTCAGACTTAGATGTTATTTGTAATTTAAGAATGGATGGCATCATTATGTGAAGTCAGGATAAAATTATTAGGACAGCTAATTATGTAGCATATAATTTATCCAGTTAACACAATCTGGAGACGACTATGCCAGTGGATTTTGAACTAGCATCAAATTTCTCAAGCTCTAGAAACTTCATCTTTAGTTTCTGTAGACTGATACAAGAAATAATATTTTTATCACTTATACTATTCTCTAGTGTTTCGGCTATTAAGATGGGGCTTTCGAATTCTAGAATGATTAAATAATGAATACTGTCTTGTTCTGATGCAGGTATAGGAACCTCATTGAAAGAGCTTTGAGAGCAAGGCTTGTCTATGGGACTCCTAACATGAATCGAGCTGTTAGCTTTGAGTACATGAATCGCCAGTTAGTGTGGAATGAATTTTCGGTAATTGTTTTTCCTCTGTTTTCACAAAATTAGCCGTTCTAATGCTGTGAACTTGTACTTGTTTCATTTAAAATTTATGTGCTCTGTGATAAACATGGAGGATTATTTTTTGGCTGATGTCCAAAAATACTAACAGGGTGAAACTTATATTGTGGATTATCTTTATTTAACTGGGAGTAATGATACGGATCTTTATACAAACAAACTCATACAAATTGATAATGGCAGGATGTCATTGGAAGAGTGAAAATTAAAATTAAATTAGACAAATCAATATAGATATGTGGCTCTGCAGCTTGATTACCACTTTAGTTTGTATCAGTAAGTTTATATATGTAGTATTATTCATTGAACTTATTGAAAGTCTTAAAAAGAACTTCATCAATCAATCTATTAGCTGGAAACAAAATTTTATGGAGTATGAGGCCCAGAAGTTTAATGTTTTGTTGGTTGAAAGAGAATATCCATATACAAAGCTTTTCCTCTTTTTTTAAGCATGAGTTAGAAGTAATAAGCTTGTTAAGACAACGTCTGGAAGATGGGTTTTTTTATTTTCCAGCTACCTTAAATTCCAAAGTCTATGAAACAGCTCCTCGTGCAGTCCTTCATATAGTTGTTGGCTGCATTCCTTCGTATACTTTTACTCACTTTGTCCTCTTTTTGGCTGCAGGAAATGTTGTTGTTACTTCTCCCTCTTCTTAACTCATCAACCTTTAAAAATATATTCTTCCCATTCTCAAAGGATAAATCTTCAAGCTCCACAGAAGATGACACTACTTGTCCGATTTGCCAAGCAAGTCCAACCACTCCATTTCTTGCCCTCCCTTGCCAACACAGGTATATTACTGAATATATGCTCTAGAAACCTGTTTACAAAATCTTTTGGACTAACATTGAAGGTGTTCTTCTGGGAAAAGCTAATTTTCATACAGCCCACATATGCTCTAAAAGCCTGTTTACAAAATCATAAGCCTCAGCTGAGGCCCTACTTCTGGTATATCTGGCTTAATGTATGTTTCCAAATGCAAGCCAACACAGACTGCAAAATAACTGCTGTTATTTGTGTTTTAACACATGATATGCAAAGAGGTTCTTTGGACAGCTCCATACTCTTGGAAATACAATTTCATGTTTGGTTGGTTAACAGGATAGGTTTATGCTTAAAATGTGATTCTTTCTCGCTGGCAGGTACTGTTATTACTGCCTTAGGACACGTTGTGCTGCAGCTGCATCATTCCGGTGTTCCAGATGCAGCGAGCCAGTAATTGCCATGCAGCGGCATGGTGTAGTCGACCATAAAGTTCCAAGTCAATGATACTTATTTAGAAAGAAGAAAAGTCATATCAACTTAGAGTACTGTATAAAAAAGAGCCTGATTATGGCAAACTACTTCGAAAGAGAAATTACGACCCATGTTCAAAACATTTTTTCCCCATTGGATGGGGGATCAATCATTCTTAATGAGGTGATTTCTTCCTCGTTTACAACAAAATATTTACAGCTTCATTGTCTTCTCTTTTTAATTTATCACTAGAGGCAAATTGCGACCTCTTCCCATTATGTAGTTGTTCTTTTCCTTGATCATATCTCATTTTACCTCTGAATTGATCTCATTGTTAGTGTTGATATGCCCTTTGTCTCAGACTGTTATGTGTTTTCCTAATGAACTGAGGCTACATGCTAGAAAGTGTCATGTTACTGGTTAGAATATGTTTGAGCTGGTTGGACGGATTTTGAGTGAGTCTTGAGTAGTATGATTCTAATCCAATGGTTGAAAACACTTTGGTAACATATATGTTATCTCTTGTGTCAAATTTGTGTCTTATATTATAACTAAATGGGGTTTGTTCTTTCTTCCCCAAAAGGAAAATTGTCATTGTTTTGGCAATAATTTACCATGCCTTCAGAAGTGGTCTTTGTACTGTTTTTGTAAATCGTTTAAAGTATTTTCTTTGCATTTTTAGCATTTAATTGAAAAGGATGAATATGTTATTGAATAAAAGTACTCCTTATATATAGGAGCAATCAATATTCATCTCCATGATCTATTCAAAATGGCTAAATTTTCATTTTTTATTTGGAAATGCTTTCCCACATGAAGCCTTGTCTTCTCTCCCTCAAAAAATTGGAATCCTTTCTGCTAATTGAAGGTTTCATTTTACACGTTAAATAAAAGATTTCTAAGCAAATTTTAGCCACATGACTTTTATTAATCTTTTACAAGGTCCAGTTACACTATAATTTTATTGACGGATTAACTGAATCACAATCCAACATAAATCTATTATAACCACTCAATTTGTGGTTGGATGACAAGAGTGTAGGTTATCTAAAGCTCTTATATTCGAGTCACAAAAAGTGGTTATATACCACATTTATAACTTACCTTATGATTTACTTGGTCCATTAGGTTTGTAGAGTGTTTAATGAACCTCAGAATTAGTTGAAGTACATGTAAGTTAGCACGAACACCTTGGTTACTAATATATATATATATATAAAAACAAAGAGTGAGATATCAATTACATCATGGTATAATAAATCCTTATTTTTTAAGAGTAAAGCATTGACCCTTTTTCATCTTGTGATTGACATAACATTGATGTTTGGAAGAAAATTAAGAAGAATTGAAGTAGTGAAGGCCACCCATCACCATCGATTACCAACTTGACCTTTTATTAATCTAGCTTTTTAGATAAATTAATCTAAATCTATTTGAAATACTTGCCTCTAGGCACTAGTCAATCAATAATCATGTATTCTATCCTCTTCACTAAACTTTTTTTCTTAAGTATACAAAGTATCACATGTAATGTTGTAGCTACAATCTATTAATTTTGGTGAATAAAGTGAGATGGTCCACTTTTTAATAATAAAAATACGAATTGTCTTTATCATTATTATTATATAAGACTAAGGTGTTAGGTGTTGAAATTCTCTCTTTTAAGGATATGGCTCTCTTTCACTTTTAAAGAGTGAAATCTTTTATTCAAAATGCTCTTCATATGCAATTTCTCATTCACCAAATTCATTGTATCAGCAACTATTCACTTTGAGATAAAAACAAGTTTTTATATTATTAAAATCTATCTTAACTATCTCTGGGCAATCGAGTGGTTCTATAGAGACTCTTGAGTTCGAGTCCCTCATCAGTTACTAATATGGTTAACCATCAGAACTTTTATTCTGCCAATAGTTCCAAAGTCCCGAGGGATTAGTTGAGGTGTGCTTACTCTACCGGGAGTTCCAAGGTTCTGAGAGATTAGTTGAGGTATGCTTACCCGGCTAGTAATTCCAAGGTTTCGGAGGAGTAGTTGAGATGGCCTTAAACTAGCCAAGATACCCCCGGCAATTAAAAAAAAAATTCAAAAAAAAATTCACTGTCTTTCTTTAACATACAATCAACTCTACTTCATCTACACTTGAACCTATGTTCAAGACCACTGTCCCCGCTTGCCCGACGATTTTCCAGTACGTAAGCTTCTACCTACGTCCGAAATCGTCAAGCAAGACACATGATTTCCTTCGCCCGACGGAAGCTCTGCGTTGAAGAAGGGTATAGATAATATCCTCGACCTAATAATATCCCAAGAAAATGTTATCCTCCCAAGCGCATTTTTATAAATACTAGAGCCTTGTATTGAGACTTGTTATTATTTGCCTACAATAAGTAATATGTGCAGATTCTTTTATGGTTTGATACTGCAATCTCTTCAGATGATAATACTTTCATGTTGAATTAGTGGGTCCATTTTAAGCCTCAAAAATACTACCTGAATCTGTGAAGCACTGTTTAGATGGATTATAGAGATTTTAGTTGAGTCAAAAAGATTCTCAATCTCATTATTGTTTTCTCTATTGTGTTGTTTTCAACTACCTGGGGAGCACGGCCTGCAAGTCTCTTTCTTCCAACAAATTCTATCCATGGTGTTTTTACACTAAATTCAAAGAATGGGGCTCACTGCTCCCTTCCTCGCTTTACAGCTTTCATGAAAATTAACCTTTCAATTACTTTTTAGACTACTTATATATCTCTTTCAATAGTTGAGATATATATACGTTATATTTTATCACAAATAAATTCTAAATTAATTACATGTTAGGTTAGTAGAACTTTCCTTCTTTTTAAAACCGTTAAACTAGCATCTAACTAATATTATTGTCTTCAAAACCCTAACTCTCGTTCTTGATTCATGGAAACATCTTTTCACAAATGTTTTGGTAGTTGGTTTTTTTTTTTTTTTTTTTTTTTTTAATCACTAAAGATGTCTGGGTCAGTTTGTGTGCATCTCAACTAGTCCCTCGAGACCCTGAAACTACCAACTGGGTAAAAACCCCAGTGACCATTTCTACTAATGTCTGAATCCTGAGGAAACTTAAACTCAAACGCTCATGAAACTCTTTTTACTCTTTTACTATCAAACTACCCAGTGGTGGATTTGGTAGGCAGTTGTTTCGTCTTTCATGAATTCAAGATTCAATATCTAACTAGGAAATACAAACTTACAAAGGGTGTTAGTCGATCAAAACAACAGAACGCATAATTATGGAAGTCCAAATCCTTACCCATCTAAGTGGAAACATTAAAGTGAAAAAAAGAAAGAAAGAAAGCAAGAGAATAATATATAAGAATAGAAAGGGAAAGTGGGGGTGCATAAACTGGTAATTAAATTGTTGATGAAGACAGGAGGAGCCTTGGGTTATTTTACTGAATTTGTGGGAGAGTACAAAATAGATTCTAAAATTTTGTTTGGAAGTTGAATTATTGCACAAGAGTAGAGAAAGCAAGATAACACCAATACTATATAATGAATTATTTTACATAAAAAGCCCTTACTCCAAAGACAATATAATCCCAAGGAAGTACCCTAAATTAAGGATTTGTAATAAGCTCTCTCCTTCAAATGCATTTATTTTTGGCCTGAAAAAAACACCCCACCAGCTTTTGCTACCCCACTTCATTATAAAGCAAAAGCAAAAGAATAAAATAAAGAATACTAAATAAACCAAAGAATGAGAAAGAGAAAGCAAAAACATATGCCAACCCCACCTCTCTATAAAAATTCTTTCAAGACATAGACTCAAAGTTTTAATCTCTTGATCATTCTCTCATTTCACAAAAGCAAACAGTAAAGGCTTGTTTGGATGCATAGAAAAGAAATAAGCATTTATATGATCATCACAAAGTGAGAAAAGAGAGAAAGGAAAAAAAATCATTTTTTTGTGTTCTTTTTTGTTTTTTGTTTTTTTGGATGAGAGAGCTTACTTATCATCAGTGCAACAACAAATGATGGCAGGAAACCCTAGCTGGTGGAGCATGCATCCACCATCCATGTCTCAGCAGCCTTCTACTTTGCTAGCTTCATCCCCATCTAATATTTTGCCTTCTCAATATGTTCTTGGATCTTCTTCACTACCTTTGAATTCTTTGCCTGATAATAACCAAGATCAGCTGCCTCAGTCATGGAGCCAGCTTCTATTGTAAACTTCTCCTCTCTTATGTTCTTTAAATCTATTGTTCATATGGTGTTTTGACCTAGAACTTGAGATTTTGTTTCAAAAATTCTAGTTTGAGTCACAGTGGGATTACGAATAAAGTTGTTTGTTTTAGGATCCTGAGTAGAAATGGTGTATTTTTCGTTATTATTCTTCTCTCTTATGTCGTCTTGTGGTTGCGTGTTATATATCTCTGTGGAACTGATAAAATATACGAATTTTATAACAAATTCCTTTACTTACTTATCTTGACTCGAGTTTTTCATTTTTTTTCAGGGGTGGATTGTCAAGTGATGAAGACAAGTTTGTTAATCTCAATCATTTCCAGTCGAAAAAGTTTGAAAATTATGAAGATCACCAAATCATAAATCCATCTCTAAGAGCACCAGTTGGTGATATCAAACAAGAAGTAGTCACTCAAAGTAGCAACTTATATGGCCATGGAGGTGAAGAATTTCAAGCTCCAACTCCTGCAAATTGGCCACAAATCATGCCGGTTTCATCCCCTAGGTCTTGTGTCACTAGCTTAAACACTAATATATTGGACTTCTCTTTTACCGAAGCAGATGGGAACAATAATAATAATAATAATAATAATCATCAAAACCCAGATCATTCATCTGAGGTAAGTTAATTTATTACATACAGTGAAGGACAAACAATTATTTTTTTCTGAATTTTTTTTTTTTTTTTTTTTTTTTATTTTAAATATAATCTTCTTGGTACTCTTTGCTAGTGTAACAGCACAGTCACAGGTGAGATTTGCAAGAAGGCTAGGATTCAATCTCCCTCATCAAGCCAGCCACCATTAAAAGTAACAGAAAAACTCTCTTTTTTATTTTTTTTCCTCTCTCTCTCTCTCTCTGTAGATGCCATGTTTTTTTGTTGATTGGCCAATTCTATCACCACCATGTGTGATTCTTCAGAACAATTTATTTAATCAAATATTCATGTGATGATGAGTTAGGTGAGGAAGGAGAAGCTTGGTGACAGAATCACAGCACTTCACCAACTAGTTTCCCCATTTGGAAAGGTAAAAAAAAATAAAAAAATCTCCTTCAAATTAACCTTTTGTCTTCAACCGCATGCATAAACTGATCATAAAGAGATTTGTTATTGTTTTCCGTCTGCGTTTTTTTTTCTTTCTTTTTTTCTGGTTTTTGGGTTCTCTTTTTTCTTTATCTTTTTCCATCTGGCTTTCTCTTTTAACATTAAAGAAGATCAGAATATGGCTCATGGGGTGCTGTGATTAATGTTCCTCTTTTGCAGACTGACACTGCTTCTGTCTTGTTAGAAGCTATTGGGTATATCAGATTCCTTCAGGGTCAAATTGAGGTGACTGATCTTTCTTCTGTAAAAATGTTATACTTTGCAAACAACAATACTAAATCACACATCAGTTAAAGTTCCGTTCATTGATTTCTTTTTACAATAAAAAAACATTCTTTAATTAGTTATGGATGTCACAAACTTATTCTCCTTCTTATTCTCTTGCCCGGTCATCTACCTGAAAATGCAGGCCCTCAGCTCGCCTTACTTGGGCACTCCTTCTGCAAATTTGAGAAATCATCATCACTGTGTAAGTAAATCATCCCATTTTCCAAAGCAAGCCCTAGATTCTGAGAGAAGATCATCTAAAAAGAGAAAATAAATAAATAAACATGTGAGTCTATGCAAGTATTAAGCATGCGTGACTAATTCTATTAGAATATATTATTTATTTATATAGAAATGGGAGAGGATTATGTATTGTTAGGTTTAGGAAGACCAACTTATTATTGATTTCAGGGTTCGGGGGATTAGTTGAGGTGCACAAACTAGTCTGAATACTCTCGCCCACAAAAAAAAGGAAAAAGGTTTAGGAAGATTTTAATTTCTTCTTAGGTGTAATTAATTAAGGTGAGGAAGAATGCTTTATTGGATCCATCACAGAAAAAAGCAAGTAGGGATGGCTAATTAATGGGCTTGTTGTTGAAAAGCACCTAGCTGAACTTTTTTTATTACTTAAAAGCACAAGGTTCTACTTAGCTTTATATAAATTAAATGGAGTAAGATTTACTTGTAACTCAATCTTATAAATTTTTTCTTACAATTCCGACGTGAAAACTCATAATTGGTCAACTCGCAATTAGACAGATGGGACTTATAGTGAGCATGCAGGATCCATTTGCGAGCTGACTAATTGTGAATTGTCACATCAGGGTTATGAGAAACTTTGTGAAATTGGGTCGTAAGTGTAGCATTGTCCTTAAAATTAACTTTTTTTTTTCTCTTTTTTATACTTTTTGCAATTAACCAGACTCTCTCTCTCTCTCTCTCTCTCTCTCTCTCTTTTTATGTTTATGAAGAGAAAAAAGATGACCCTCTAAATAAATATAATTACGATAAAGATAGGATGATAAACCTTTCTCACAAACGCGACATGACAACTCGCAATTAATCAGACGGGACCTATTGCCAGTAGACTAATTGCGAGTTGTCACATTACGTTTATGAAAGAAAGTTAGTGAGAGTAGTATTACCCTTATAATTAACCTCCCTCAAATTAATTAATGTACAATCTAGCAACGTCCTTTTTGATATTTGTATAATGCAGAAGAACACAGAATAAAGAAACCAGAAAAGCAGGATTTTGCTGTTGATACTACAGCAAAAAACATACAATAAAGAAAAACAGAAAAGTAAAGAGAACATATAATTTACTTTGGTTCATTCTAATTAAAGAATTACGTCCAACATTTAAATATAAATTTTTTATTGAGTATGATGGTAGGGGATTTTTATTGAGCAGGACTCCCGAATGAGTCACCGTAAGCCAATAATCCGTCACGATTAAGAGAGGTATACCATACACCATATCCAACGTTTGCAAACTAATTAATAGACGTTCTTTCTTTGATCAATGGCGTGCATGCTTTAAGATTAATAAAAAAAAAAAAAATGGTAGAAAAGACGTTATCGTAATTATCTTGTCCACAAAAAAGAAGACGCTATGATATATTGTAGTAATTTATTAATCATACACTTAAGCAAATTACACCTAGATTAAGAGTTCATGATAATAGTTCTTTTTTTCTTTTTCTTTTTTTCTCATTAAAAATTTGGAGAAGCGACATTTCAATTTAATTTACGTTAATAAAATGCTACTCATTAATTTCTCTTTCAGCTGCCGTTAGGATAGTCCCTAATTTTTGGGTGAAAAGTTCTTATATATTAGGGTACGTAATTAATTAAGTAATTAAACCACCTCTTTCCTTGTGGCCACATAACAAGTCTTTTAACCATTAAGATTAACTATACTTAAAAGTTTTATGTTCGAATCACAAATTTATATAATTACTTTCATTTATTGACCTTTTAGACGGACTCGGATGGCAATTAATTAGGGTTCTTAAAACAATGAAATGTAATTATATCACGATCATAAATCGACTCTACATACCTTCCTATCTCATGCTTCATATTACTTTGATTGAAGTAATTTTTTTTTTTTCCTAATTATATTTGGTTATTATGTTTATTGTATTTTGTTTCGCATTAGAAAGGGAGTTGATATTAATAAGAATGTTTTTTTTTGCATAGTTATATATATAGAATTTGAATAGAGAGGATCTACAAGAAATAATTCCGTACAACTGTTTCAGTTTTCCATTAATGATTAATTAATTAACCTGTAATTACCCTATTTTAATTGTTTATTAATTCTACGGCCACTAGTCTTCAAATCGAGCAAGTCATAATGGATATGCCACATAAAATAAATTTAAAAAATGAAAAAGCTAAAGCACTACCATATTCAACTTAAATAATCACAAATCTTACAAGTGAAAATATCATTAATTAGTTGAAAACCTGAAATCACGATTCAAATTTTGTATTTTTTTATTCATGTATGGAGTATATTCAATAATACTTTTGACAACACCGAAAGATCGTATATCAGACAAAACACTTCAAAACTTTAATGGGTTCCTAAAGTTATGCATAAATACAAATAATTTAAGTTGAAAAATAAATATATAATTTTTTTTTTTTTTGACAAAGATATCGGATCAGCTTGTCGTATACCTCAATTAATCTTTAAGGCTCTGAAGTTAACGACTGTGTAAAACCTTCAATTAATAACTGAAATGATTCGAATTCAAGACCCTCTTAACTAATATATTCAAGAGTCTCTATCGCTTTGTCCGAGTATCCAGAGGTGGTTAAATAAAGGAATTCTTAGTAGAGAAACCATATATTTAAGGTCATTCATTTCTTGATATCAATACATTAGTCTTTTAATTATTGACGACAGATTGGATGGCGTTATTATTTTGGATGTGATCTGACTATTTCTTAAAGCAATAAGAGATAAACGTCGAGTTTGTTAAGGCCTCCCACTTGGAAAGCCTCATATTCCGATGTCAAGTCAGCATCGGAGTGCCGGCGTCTAGCTTGTCAAGGACTCCCCACTTGGGAGGCCACATATTTCGACGCCAAACTGGCTCCGGTGGCGTTGGGGGGGCATCATATTTCTGACCTAAATGAGCCTTGACTCTTTTTGACGTTCGTTTTTGCGTTGGTGTATACTGTCGGCGACGCAGAAATATTCAGCTACCCCAATTCCAGGCCTGCGTCTTTTTATTATCTATATATATTCATGGTGTCAAACCAAGATTGCAATATGTTTTCATGAAATTTCAGTGTAATCAAATGTCAAAAAAACTTTGACAAAAAGCACATCACAAACACAAATCCTTAAATTTTTTTTTTTTTTTATTATTATTATTATATACCAACTTTAAGAAATAATGCATGCAGACATGAAATAAAAGACAAAAACTTGTGTGTGTGTATATATATATATATATTCTGACAAAGATTAAAACAATCCGAAGTATGGGGTTTCTGATATCTCTTAGAATAATACATTTTTTTCGTTTTCTGAAATTTTTTAAAATAAGTCAAGTGCATGAATCCCACAGAAAATCATTCACTACCAAAAAGCCTGGAAGAACAAAACAACACCACACACAAACTCATGCTTCTGTTTCTGAACCCAGAAAATTTGCAAAAAAATAAATAAAAATCTGAAATGTTATTTCTTCTTTGTTAAAGCAAACTACTCATTACAGCAATCCATATATATTCCTTGGCCATATCTAACTGGAAAGCTTTCAAAAACACAGAGGTACAGGTTACAGCAGGTACTCATGCATGTGGGTTCGAGATTTCTGACCCGAATAATGTCGATATGGACCCCATTTCGGGTCTTTCTAGACCACTTTTTTGGATTGCAATCAAGTGAGATGGGCCACTCAAAATCACACGCTCATTACTGTGCCACCTGGTGTGCTAGCTCTTGTAATCCTGATGTAACAATTGCATCACATCACATCACAACCATACTGTGATTTTATTATATAAAATTATGTTTACTTTGTTTGATTTATGAGTAAGCTAAGCTTTTGGTTTGCCCATAATTGTGCTTTAGAAGATAAGACATTCTCCGTAATTTTGCCCATTGGAGCCCCATTCTCCACTTTTAATGCCTATTATTATCAAGTCTTATCGGCTTAATATTATATGATTGAGATTACAATTATATTATTTGAACAATACTACATTATCGGCCCAGTATTCATAATGGGCCGGGCTCAGTTCAACCAAAGAAAAAGGATTGGACTCTTTCACAAACTTCAATACCATAATATTCCATTACATATAAATTATACACAATTGCTCAATATTGAAAATTGCCGTCAACATCCATGAAATTTAACCATTGTGTGACCTAATGGTAAAAAAATAAAGGAAAATTTAAGTTTACATAGTCTTTCGTGTTCAAGTCCTTGCAGCCTCTAATAGGGGTGGACACTAGAGCTCTTACCCAATTGGTAGTTCTAATAAGGGTGGCCACTAAAGTTCTTACCTGGCTAGTAATTCTAATAGGGATCACTACTAAAGCTCTTACCCGATTGATAGTTCTAATAGGGGTGGTTATTAGAGCTCTTACTTAGCTAGTAATTCTAATAGGGGTGATCACTAGAGCTCTTACCCGACTGGTAGTTCTAATATGGGTGGCCACTGGAGCTCTTATCCAGCTGATAGTTTCAAGGTCCCGAGAGATTAGTTAATGTGCGGACAAGCTAGCTTAAACACCCCAATCATTTTATTGGTGTCACCGACAAGGATTCATGAACTTTAATTCTGTAATTAAAATTCAAAATAATAGCACATAATTCAAATAAATATTTGGAAACTCAAATTTTTTTTTTTTTTTAATGTATAAAAAATGCATAGTAGTCAAATAATTTCAAATTCATTTTTAAAGTAAACTTTGCTTTTTGATATGCTATTTAGTACGGGAAGAGATTTTCAGGCCCCATCAAATTAATAAAAGTCGGTCCAAAGCATTTTTAAGAAAAAACTCAAGCCCTGTACTATTCACTTAACAATAATTAATTTTTTTTATATGAATTAATATTCTTTTAATTAGATATATAACAAAAAATTCGGAAATCAGAAGAGAAAAAAAAAAATGAATTCGAAGTTATTTGTAACTATAATATGATACTGAGGTTAACTGAATTACAAATTAAAAATTAAAAATTAATTACAGGAGTTGGTTTGAAAATTTCATGCTTTTAATAAGTCAGTCCAGTGTGAAAAAGAGAAAATTAAATAACAATACACTATGTTTCTTTTTTGTAACATGATGAAATCGTCAAATTTTACATCAAAATTCCGAAGTTCATGGATGTAGATTCGACGGGTGGAGCCACATATTGTCTAACCAAAAAAGAAAAAGGAAAGTGTAAATAAAAGGGTTTAGAAATATTGCTAAATTTATTAGGAAATATTCCATTACATATAAATTATACACAATTGCTCAATATTGAAAATTGCCGCCAACATCCCTAAAGGTTAACGACAAGGGGTGGCCTAACGGTAAAAAGACGAGAATTTAAGTTTACATGGTCTTTTCTATTCGAGTTCTTGCAGCCTCTAATAGAGGTGGTCATTAGAACTCTTATCCAATTGGTAGTTCTAATAGACGTGGCCACTAACGCTCTTACCCGATTGGTAGTTTTAATAGGAGTGACCACTAAAACTCTTATCTAGTTGGTAGTTCTAATAGAGGTGATCACTAGAGCTTTTACCCGATTGATAATTCTAATAGGGGTGGTTACTGGACTTTTTACCCCGTTGATAGTTCTAATAGAGATTGCCACTAGAACTCTTACCCAACTGGTAGTTCTAATAGGGGTGACCACTGGAGTTTTTACCCAATCGATAATTCTAAAGTCCCAAGAGATTAGTTAAGGTGCGCACAAACTATCCCAAACACCCCAATATTTAAAAAAAGAAAAAAATCAAATTACAAATCATTTGGTCAAAATCATTTACTAAAAAATGTGAACGATTTATTCAAAATATTTATTTTATCCTTGAACTCTTGTATTTAAGAAATATAAAATGCTGATGACACCATTTGTATCTTAAAATTTAAGGGAAATTGATGTCAAATCTTACAAATGGCACAGTAGTAAACCCTAATAAGAAATTAAGCTTCTTTATTATGAAAGTATATATAATTAATTAAATATGAATACAGCGCCTCATAATTAATTGACAGTATATATATGTAGGGAGAATTCTCATTAACAACAGGAAAAACATTAACAGAATTACCAAACTCTAATGTTAACATGTGAACCACAGTAGATAAATAGGAACCTTAAAAGGCTGCTGTAACAAAACCCAGTTGTATTGTAAATTTGTAACTCATCTCAAAGCCAACCCCAGTTTCAGTTCGAGTTCCTAGATTGTCAGCAGCAAGATTCTTGGCAACCATTAACATGGCTAATTCTAAATGGAGCCACACAGCTCTCCTGGTTATTGACATGCAGGTATGTATATTATACATATTTTGATATCGCTTTACTTCAATTCAATTCATTTTTTGTGGGTTGTTTTTGTTTTGTAGAATGATTTTATATTGGATGATGGATTGATGAGAGTGGATGGAGGCAAAGCTATTGTTCCTAATGTTATAAAGACTGTTGAAATGGCTAGACAGCGTGGGATTCTCGTTATATGGGTAGTTTTTTTACTTCTTATTTTTCTTTTTTTTATTGCCAGGAACTGAAACTTAAAATATGTAATGAACAGGAAGAAGGAATGTTTGAGACCTTATGTAATTGAATTTTGTAGTTAAAGTTTGACTGTTTAGCTGTTGTTACACAATTTGAGAGAAATTATTCAGTGCTTTTGGAACATTGTGGTTCTTATAAACTTGTTGATTTCACCTGTAAATTTAACTTATGGGGTTCGCTTTACGTAAGTATGGAACAAATGTTTTGTGGGTATTGAATGGTTAGACCATTTTCAAACAGAAGTTTGCTTCATTTAACAATTTCCATATGTGCTTTGCTCTTTGGTCAGATTATTCTAAGTTTCTGTCTTCTGTCAGCTTGATTTTTGAAAACAAATTATTGTCATCTTAATCATTGACAGTAATTCATTTTTGAAAAAGTATAATTTCTAGTTTTTCTTAGTCTGATGGTGGTATTTATGGTGAGAAATTTTGGCTAAAGGTTGTTCGAGAGCATGATCCACAAGGAAGAGATGTTGAACTCTTTCGCAGGCACTTATACTTGCCGGGGAAAGTGGGTCCCACCTCTAAGGGAAGTCCAGGTGCAGAACTTGTAGACGGCCTTGTGATCAAAGAAGGCGATTATAAGTTGGTGAAGACTCGCTTCAGCGCGTTTTTTGCTACCCATCTTCATTCATTTCTTCAAACTGCAGGGATTAATAGCCTAGTAATCGCTGGTAAATTTCAAGACTAGTAAACCCTTCAAATATTTTAACTCAGTAAGGCAATGTTGTTTCAAAATTGTGTGATTCGCTGGAATCTCTGCATCTAGGTGTTCAAACACCGAATTGCATCAGGCAGACTGTCTTTGATGCTGTAGCACTGGATTACCAACCCGTTAGTGTTATTGTTGATGCCACAGCTGCAGCTACACCTGACATTCACCTTGGTATGTGTTCTTTGGTCACCCGGACTCATTGCTGTGTTATGCAAATGTTTATGTTTTAATTAACTTTTTTTTTTTTCAATATGTATACTTATACTGCAATGAATCAACATTCAACCATGAACACAGGCATTTGAAACTTTGAAGTGGTTGCATTCCTATCTAACTTTCCCTCATTATCAAGCACTTTAATTTTCAAGTAATCTGTCTTCTTTGTTGGACATTTTTTTTGTGTCAGAACAAATTTTTATTTTCTTCAGAAAATCAATTGTGGTGAGACTAGGATAGCTTTTGATGGGTTTACTTATTCTGTTAGTGTTCATTTAGACAAGATTAGGAAGGCTAATACATGAAGTTTTTGTTGCTGAAATTGTTAAATGACGAGTATTGTAGTATCTTTATATGTAACCTAGAAATTGTGAAGAGTTGATCAAAACCAAGATCTGTTCTGTTGTTGCTAATGGTTAGACACAGTCTAGCTCTATTAAGATGGATTGTTATTGGTTTTAGAATATGATATGTGCAGCAACTAGCGCTGTTCGCTATGAAGGAGATGCAACTTTTGGTTACATTATTATGTTTACATTTTTTCTTTTAGTTGAATCAATTCAAGCAGTGGCGCTTTTAAGTGTGAGTATGATTTTAAAAGAAGAAACCGCACCCTTCATGCTTGCAGATTAAGGAGTTTCCAGAGGGCTTAGGAGGCTCATTGAATTGTATGTTGTGGCAAAGTTGGTAAAAGAAAGTCGCCAAAATTCCAATTTTAAATAGACTGAGTCCTTAGACTTATCATACAGTTACAAGAGATATTTCTAGCTAAGCTTATTGGTAACCACTTATGCTGATCCAGAGCTTAAATTAAAGGCTTTAAACTTAATTAAAATTCAATTACCTGACCTTTGAGAAGTATTTGTGAAGTTGCAAAAACCATTTAAGCAAAGGGCAACATATGATATTCTGGTCTGCAGAAATGACAAAAGAAATTATTATGGCTCTAGGTACAAGATAGAGGGCTACTATTTCTTCTAATTTCATTGAAACAAGTATTGCATTAGGTTTCTAACCTGAGCTGTCAAAGTTTGAACTTAAAATAAACAATTTATGCCAAAGGTAGCCGAGTAGTGAAAGCAAAACAGATTATTGCAGATAGAGGTTTTCAAAGCACCTAAGACAAATGCTAATAAAATTTGCACGAATGCATGACTTGAACTGCCTATGTTAATTTCTGTGGTGTTCTTTTTCCTCCCTCGTATTACACAATGAATTATGCTTGTCTTGAAAGATTCCAGATTCCAGAATTTTGTTCATGACTGACTTGGATTCCTAAATTTTCTAACTAGCCAATATTTTTGACATGAGAAATGTTGGAGTTGCAACACCAACATTTCAAGAATGGTGCAAAGCTGATGCTTGATTCGTCAGAGACTAAAAATGTTTACATTCTTTCCAATCTTTTATCATGTGTCTTTGTATGTGTAGAATGATGATATGTCGTGTAATAAAAATAGTTATTTTCCACCATGGCCAATTCATCTAGTTTCTTCTGCATATCTTTCTCAGTTTAACTCAATATGGAGAAAATAAAAGCTGTTTGAATATCTGTGGTATCAGTTTTAGTGCTATTGATATTTGAGTTGACATTGTAGTTGAGGTAATATCTGTAAACCCAGCTGGTTTACTTAAATCTTAACTCTGCCTGAGTTTGTCTGCATTTCAACTTAATTGCTCAAGTTTTCAGTTTTATGTGTTGATATGTGGCTTGGATATAATTCATGCACATTAAATAAACTCTTGAATCGTAGAACTTTAGTCCTCTAAATTGTCATTATACCCTGTCGTGGCTAGAACCGAAAACAAAGTTGAGGAACTATCAGGGATGAATCAAAAAACCACCCAGAAAAGGCTGCAATTGTTGCACTGATTTGTTATTGTTGGTCTTGAACTGGTTCATTTCCTTGAACCTTAATCCTGAAGCTCTGTCACCAAAAACGCTTTCAAGCTGCAAGTTACCAGGACTGGTTAATTAAGTACTCTTCGGCTAGTTAAGCAATACACCGTGGATTAACAAGTTCTTGTGATCCAAAATTTTATATTGGTAACATGCAATATCATACTTACAATGTATCACTATCTTATTTAGTAATATCAAAATATGAAGGAACTGATTCTCGAAAGTGAAGAAAATCTAATTCAGTTTTTGGGCCAACCTTGAGAAAAAGGAGTTGTCAAGGAAATTCTGGAACTTCAAAAACCTGGAAATTAACCAGGAGGGAAGTTATGATTCTGGATTAAAAGATAAATGCATTCTTCAGAAAAAGTCAACATTGGTAATTGGAGAGTTCGAGTCCCACCCGGCACTGATAAAGTGGTCACTGGGGCTCTTACCTGGTCGGTAGTTTCAAGGCTCTCGAAGATTAATTGAAGTATGCGCAAACTGACACAGACATCCCTAATGAAAAGAAAAAAAAAAAAAAAAAAAAAAAAAGAACATTGGTGATTAGGAGAATTATTTAACATCAGGAGATTGACCAGAAAAAGTTCCAGGGTTCTGGCTTAAGTTTCTAAGTAGAACAGAATCAACGGTTTCTCAATTTTAAATCCTATTCTCATTAATCATTTGAATATTTTTGAAGAATCGTTTACTATATATTTGCAGAGTTGGTTTGAGTTTTTACTTTTTATTGTCTTTTTTCTTGAAAGTTTACAACCTCGAGTAGGTAATTAATAATTTGTCCCCGATACTGTTTAACAACGGAGAAACACTATTACCGTTAGATAAGGATTTTGCCGTTAATGCTAAGTAATGTCGTTATTAATTTTTACATTTAACTAACGGCACTTCACCATCACCGTTAACTACTGGTACTTAACCGTCACCGTTACTTAATTCGCCGTCAATTAACAGTAACGTTGGACATTGTTACTTCAGTACTCACGGTTTGAAAGATTTGAACGATCTTCAAGGGCGGCTTCAAATAAGAGGGTTGAGAAAATGTGAATTCACAAAATCACTGAGACAATTTTTCTGAAATTTGATTTCATCTACTTTCTGTTTCTTTGGATGAATATAATACCCCACTTCTAATTTCAGGTATTACACCCCACCGTTCCATCTCTTGGCTGAATATTCATATCTGATATTGATCTGAGAATTATGATGTATTTGTCCATAGTATCTTATTTAATTAATAAATACATTTGGGAATATTACATGTTCCATTTTCTACTCTTTCCATGTCTCAAACCACACAAAAAATATTGAAGATGTAATTAGATAACAGGTTGATTTGATCGAAGATCCCATTTCTTTAATAATGATATAAATCTAACCCTTTGCTAGATGTCATTTCCCAGGTGATCGACAGCAATTATGTATGAGTACTAAACGCTGTTGTAACTAACACAGCTCATAGCCAACCCAAGTTTCAATTCCACGTCCTACATTTTCAGCTGCAATGTGTGTATAAATATGATTTACTCGAAGGAAACTTTGCACCAATAACCATTAACATGGCTGATTCTGAATGGAACCACACAGCTCTCCTGGTTATTGACATGCAGGTATCTAAACAAACATTTATATGAAGTCACTTCATTTCAATTCGTTCATTTTTTCTGTTTTAGTTTTGGGGGTTGTTTCTGTTTATTGTAGAATGATTTTATAGAGGACAATGGATTGGTGAGAATGGACGGAGGCGAAGCCATTCTTCCTAATGTTATTAACACTGTTGAAAAGGCCAGGCATCGTGGCATTCTCGTTAAATGGGTATTCTTTTTTACTTATTTTTCTATTCTTATTCCCACTATCCCATGTCCTGTTTGTTTTCTAACAAAATCTGTCCATCAAAACTTTCAAAAGTTTTCAAGAAACTTTGTTTGATGATGGTATTTAATTAAGGTGAGAATTTTTGGCTAAAGGTTGTTCGCAAGCATGATCCACAAGGAAGAGATGTTGAACTCTTTCGCCGCCACTTCTACTCGACGGGGAAAATGTGTCCGGCCTGTAAGGGAAGTCCAGGTGCAGAACTTGTAGAGGGCCTTGTGATCAAAGAAGGAGATTATAAGTTGGTGAAGACACGCTTCAGCGCGTTTTTTGCTACTCCTCTTCATTCATTTCTTCAAAGTGCCGGGATTCATAGCTTAGTAATAACGGGTAAATAAATTTTCCAAGACTATTAGTCCCCACAACCTATTTTCACAAACTTCTCTTACAACCCGACGTGGTATTTGAGTTAGCACTGTCACAGTCTCTTATAACCTTGACATAGTAATTGAGTTGGCACTGTCACGTCAGTACCATCACACCTAAGATACTAAATGATTTTGACTAGACTAAAATAACGGCCCTTCCTTATGAAGGAACCTAAGGAATGGTCGTTAATAACCATTCCTTCATGGGGAACGAAAGAACAATTGTTCGTTTCTCATAGTGTCTTGGCCTCTTGGGTGCTTTGGGTGTGGTGGGAGCTAACATGATAGTATCAATTTGCTGGCGGGTTGGGTTGTGAAAGAATATCGTGAGATTAAATTGTAAATGTAGCATTTTTCTTAATTAAACCCTTTAGTTNGAACTCAGAACCTCTTAAATAATACGCTTAAGATATTACTCAAGAGAACATGTCAAACTACTCGACTATCGTAGAGATCAATTACAATAATATTATAATGCATAAGTTTATGTCCAATATATTATTTTTATAACCAAACATTGGCTTGCCTAAATTTATTACCTCTGGTCCATTATGTACATTGCTCAATAAATGCATTATATATCAAACTTCACAATCTCTTTGAAAAAGGGTTTTATAAAAAAGCACTTTTGATAATCCATAAAGTAATCCCAACACATTTTTTTTTTTTTTTAACTCTCAAAAGCACTTCTTTTGACAACAAACTAGACAACATAAAAGTGCTTTTGACTTACTACAAACACATTTAACAAATGTTAAAAGTAACTGACAATAATCTTTATTACGATATGATTAAATCAAGGTTGGAACTTGGAAGTGCTTATTTCATCTAAGCGAAAGATGTACAAAACCCGAAGAGATTGGTCTAGTGGTTAAAAATATTTATCCCCTTCATTAATTTTCTAGATTCAAACCACTTTGAGGTTATTTATCACAAATTTGTGACTTATTTTGAAACATTAGGTTTGTTGAGTGTTCAATTGGCTGTGGGGATCAGTTTAGATATGCACAAACTGACCCGAACAACTCAATCTTTTTAAAAAAAAAAAAAAAAAAAAAAGATGTACAAAAACATTGCATGGTGTTGAAATGATTTTGTTTGATGATTAAATAAAGTTTTGGGTTCCAAAACAGTAGTTTGATTGATTGAACAGAAAGAAATATCAATAATTCTTGCTTCACTTCTTTGAGAAAAAAAGGATGTGACTTCTCCCCTTATAATGCGGCATAACAATCAACTTAAATTTAACTATTTTCTCGTATATTTGGATTGCTTTATAATTTATGTGTGAAATTTATATTTTTGCTTGTACTTTGATTTGTAGGTTTGTGTAGGGAACCCCAAAACCCAAATCAAACTGAACCGATTGATTTGATTTGGGTTACCAAAGTAACCCTAATTAAATTGTTTTAGTTTGGTTTTGGTTTCTAACAAATACATGGAGTTAATTTTTTGACCTCTTGAGGAACGATAACAAACCCTTAAAAACTATATTATTATGAATATATAAATACTTANTAGCATTAAAATTAAAATTTCATTTGAGAAATAATATTTGTTTGGAAATACCAACTTATTATAAATGATATCTAGTACAACAAATTAGCTCTTGCGTTTATTCATAAAAGCAAAAATCATATATCGGTCCTTTGTTGTTTCAATCATACAGGCGAGGTCTACTTTGTGTTAAGCCTAGAATTTAGGCCCATTGAGCCATCTCAACATGAATATAAATAGGCCCAATATTCTATAGTAGCCCATTTGAAATGCACATTGCATAGGATTTCTAGATTGTTATAACTTTGTCTATGGGAAAGCATTAAAAAGAAAGGAGAAAACTTCGAGTTTGAGGAGTTTCCAGTATTTTTATTGTATATGTTGATATATGTCGAATCCAGACACATGGTAGGTACTAGGTGGGTTCTTAGAGGTATTTGTCAGAAGTGAGAGTGGCAAAAAAAAAAGTTTCCCAGAAAAAGAGTAAAAAGATTATATTTCTACGTGTATTGTAAGTTTTTACAGCCTCAATTTATACAAAAAATAATGTTCAAGAAAGGAAATACAATTGTCTAATTACATGTAATCAGAGAACTTGATTGATGCATGAATTGTAGAGAGCAATCTTAGGGATTAGCCGTAATTGTGGTTATTGGCATGATTTCAGCATTTACATTCCATATTCCTTCAGTATTGTCCTCTTTGGGTCTTCAGACCCGTACAGTTTTGTCTTAAAAATGTGTCTTTAAATGATGAGAGTGTTCTTGTACTATATAAATGATCAAGACCCTCGTCTCCTAACATACGGGTTTGTGAAAACTGAGAACATTATTTGATCGTCCCCCTTAATTATTTTTAGGGTATTATAGTCTCATTGATCATAAACACTTTAAAACGAAGGCTAAAAAGAGAGTCAATCAAAGGTATTTATAACTTCGGAGAGAAAATCTTAATTCTAAAATAACATTTTTTTTACACATAAATGAAAATGCCCTTAGGGTAACTTTAACCTAACTTTACTGAAAAAAAAAAAAAAAACTATATAAAGGATACCCATTCTACCTTCACATAGTTTAACGTATATTAGAATCAACGAGGTCTTTCCCAATAGTTTAATCAGCAGGATCTTCCCAAATATTCATGATTACCCTTTTAGGGATTTAGACAAAATGGATGAGTAACCCATATGGGCTGCCTGGAGGCCCAAATCTGCCAGTTGTACGAAAAGGGTGGCATGACCCCTTGTCTAATTTAATCAAGTGAATTCACCCACTGCCTCAGCTTTTTTATGTTTTGACTTTCGAGTAATACTACTGGCTGAATTATGTACAGGTTTTGGGGCAGAAATTTGGGGGCTCGGTGGGCCCTAATTAGTCCACTTTCAGGTGGGTTGGGCCCATTGGGTACCTACCTTTAATCCAACATGGTCCATCGGATTTTCCATTTTTTCAATTATGAGATTCCTTTTTGAGTTGTCCTGACAACTCCTCCTTGCTTCTCTCTTCTCTCTCTCTTCTTTTCTTCAAAAGAAAGAAAATTTCATCAATCAAGTTTTAAAATTGCACAATCTTATCCAAACAAATATTGTACTGAAAATTTATCACATAACACGGTTTTGTTACATCATTTGATCACTGTACTAATGTGGTGAGACTATCCGATCAAAATTAGTTGCATGTTATCATATATGTAATAATTTTCCTTTTCAATGATAACCGCCATCACAAATTATCGATCATTATGTGATTAACTCTAATTGGAAGCATAATTTCATTGGGTTAAAATGATGATATGGTGAGACCATCCCATTTAAATTTTATTAAGTTAACATAATAATTTTTTTTTTTTGTTTTGTTTTTTTATGATTGGGAGTGTTCGGGTCAGTTTCACATATTTTAACAATCTTTTAGAACCCTAAAATACTGATCTGGTAATGCTCAGTGGTTCCCTTATTAGCAATCGAAGAGTGACTTGAACTCAGAACTTTTGAATAATACACTCAAGATATTACTAAGAGAACATGTCGATCACCTGACTACGTAGAGATAAATTACATAATATTATAATGCATAAGTTTATGTCCAATATATTATTTTTATAACCAAACATGGCTGCCTAAATTTATTACCTCTAGTCCATTATGTACATTGCTCAATAAATGCATTAATATCAAACTTCACAATCTCTTTGAAAAGGGTTTATAAAAAAGCATTTTGATAATCCATAAAGTAATCCCAACACATTTTTTTTTTTTTTAACTCTCAAAAGCACTTCTTTTGACAACAATGAACAAACTAGACAACATAAAAGTGCTTTTGACTTACTACAAACACATTTAACAAATGTTAAAAGTAACTGACAATAATCTTTATACGATATGATTAAATCAAGGTTGGAACTTGGAAGTGCTTATTTCATCTAAGCGAAAGATGTACAAAACCGAAGAGATTGTCTAGTGGTAAAAATATTATCCCCTCATTAATTTTCTAGATTCAAAACACTTTGAGGTTATTTATCACAATTTGTGACTATTTTGAAACATTAGGTTTGTTGAGTGTTCAATTGGCGTGGGGATCAGTTATATGCACAACTGACCCGAAACTCAATCTTTTTAAAAAAAAAAAAAAAAAAAAAGATGTACAAAAACATTGCATGGTGTTGAAATGATTTTGTTTGATGATTAAATAAAGTTTGGGTTCCAAAACAGTAGTTTGATTGATTGAACAGAAAGAAATATCAATAATTCTTGCTTCACTTCTTTGAGAAAAAAAGGATGTGACTTCTCCCTTATAATGCGGCAAACAATCAACTTAAATTTAACTATTTCTCATAATTTGGATTGCTTTATAATTTATGTGTGAAATTTATATTTTTGTTGTACTTTGATTTGTAGGTTTGTGTAGGGAACCCCAAACCCAATCAACTGAACCGACTGATTTGATTTGGGTTACCAAACTAACCTAATTAAATTGTTTTAGTTTGGTTTGGTTTCTAACAAATACATGAGTTAATTTGTTGACCTCTTGAGGAACGATAACAAACCCTTAAAAACTATATTATTATGAATATAAAATACTTATAGAATTTTCTGTCGTTTATTTAACACTTAAAACTTAATCATTAGGATTTTTATTTTCAGAAACCTTGTGAGAATTAAGTTATTAACTTGATTGGTTTAGGATTTAGAGTAAGAGCCGAAATATTTGAAAAAAAAAAAAAATAGAAAAAAAGTGTCCCTTCAATTGCTTTGAAACCAATATAGAAGATAAGATATTGAAAATATTGGCCTACCTCAACCAAGATTTGAGTAGCATGTTCTCCACACACAATGGGCTAAACTTGTTCAACTTTTTTGACACAAGAGCCCCAACCTTCTGCTTCTCCCCATATGAAAAGGCAAAGGCAAAGCTCTCGATCTCATTCTTCTATATATTATTTATTATTAAAGAAACCTTTGAAAAAAAAAAAAAAAA